TCAGGGTATTGGCAGGGGTGTCGGTGGCTTGGAGTGCCAGGAATAGCCCCAGAGCCTCAATCAGTGGTAAAAGTGTCTCAACAATTAGTCTTGACGTCTTTACGCGCAGCCTCATGGTCTCAATGAGCAGGTTCAACGTTTTAACGAGCAGTCCTACTTTTCGCTCTCTCCGCTTTTCGCTTTCCCTGCGGTCATTATCGAGGACGGCTGGAAAACGCGGCATCCTGGGGATGGACAGTCGCCTACTTTCTCTAGCGCGGGCCCAGTGTGGCGTGACCGAGTCACATAGGTTGTTCTTGACAAGAACCGATCCAGGGGCCAAACGCGCAGCACGCCTTTTACGTGTGAACTGGTTTTTGGATGTGTGGTTCGGTTTGCGTGGATTGGCAGTTGCGGACTGGATTGTTCGCGTCCATGTGGATTGAACTCGTGCAGCGTGTTTGTTGAACGTTGGATGCTCTTTTATTATATGTTGTCCGACCGGACATTAAATAGGAGATGATCATCGATGATGGTGCATGTCGCACACCGCAAATGATTTGACGTAGAGCATTTCAACTGGAGCGTATGCTAATTTTGTGCTGCTTTTTTAGGACTTTCGCTCACTTTGTCGTATAAACACGCCTGGCTTTAGCTTTCACGAGGGCGAAAATAACAGGAACACGCCACATGAATCGCCATGATGGCTGAACATCCAGCAGACGGATCGTCTAACACGCACGTGCACGACCCTTGTCTCGTTCGCCAAAATATCAAAAATCGTATTTCCGTCATGCATCATCATTACATTCGTTGCATTCATGTCCGGCGCCAACACGTCACACCAAGAGGCATCTCCGCTGAATAGTCAGAAGAGGACGTCTTGAGGGCGGACGTGCAGCACACACTGACACGTGGGCGCAAATCTCCGCTGCAGTTCATGCGCCCTTGAACCGACCGTACGTAACACCTGTCTGACGTCATGACGTGGGACAATGTGTGTCCGCTGTGCATTACTGTCGTATTGGCCATGGTTAAATGACGAATATGACACGACCGCGAACAAATTGCTGAACTACGCCGGAAGAGTCATGGGTAAGAAGGTCCTCATGCCGAGCCCGTCGTAGGCTCATGCATTCCACGTTTGTTATGTATCATCCATGCCTTGGTTATTCAGTCACTAACGACAGGAGTGCATCGAAGCCAATACGAATCACCATTTTCCGAGTGCGGTACTACGCCGCGAGTGCAACACAACGGCGTAGAATGGTCTGGATATTTTAGGGCTCTGTCGGTGCAGCTACTCGGGTGATGCCCGCCTTAGCGGGAGCTGTGGGACGTGAACACGGGACGCAGGTGGCTCCAAGGACACTGGGGAGAGCTGTTCAGACGCCACTGATTCTGCCGATGGCACCGAGGCCTGCCACCGGTGAACTTCGACGCCATTGCGGTAAGTCTTCCACAGCCGGCGGGGCCTGCGACAGAGCCCTTCCTCAACGAGGCAGGGCTCTGCCACTCTGCCTCAACAGAGCCCTGCCACTAACGACAGAGCCCTGCCTCAACTCTGTCGTTAGTGGGAATCTTTTCTTTGAACTCTTGGATTTCGCAGACTCGTGATCCTCTCCCACGCGCACCAGTTTGAAACCTCCAGAACAATACTACGTTTGTCTGGTGACGTCCGTGTTTACAGAGTGCATGCGAATTGTTAGTTTGCAAACTTTCTAGGCCGCCCAACTGCCCGAGTGTTTTTGAAATCCCTGACCTATCTCTACGATCAGAGACATTGCCTACTGGTGGCATAGTTTGGAAAAGCCGATCTTGCATTTTCTGATAGGACCATTCCGTGAAGAAACTGGTTGATTACTGGTTTCTCCATGTACAATTTTTCAATAACACCAGGCCCCCGATGCTGGTGCTTTTAAGGCAATGAATGAGATTCAGTAGCCACGGCCACGTATTGATGAAAACGCCAGCCGAAACCAGGATTTGATTCCTCGTTTTCATGAAGGGGAAGTGGGAACCGGAAACAAACGTTGAGAACCAGACACACGTCCGCTGTCAACCGACTAGATGGGGGCGTTTTTGCATCGAAATGATGACGCGCCTTTGGACCATGAAGCACTCGGCTTTGTTGCCGGCTTTGTCGCATGCCGCTGTTGTCACTCAGGCCGCGGTCTAGCAGGTCCAACGTGGACAGCTCCACCCACTTCGGTGCCACTCAGCTGACTTCGGAAAGTCAGCCAAGCTGGGCTCCTGATACCCGCCTAAAAAGGGTTGAATGTCGTCGGGGTCTTAGAGGTGATCTTGAGAAACTGTCATGGGTTTTCTGCAGATCAATTGCCGGGTATCGTCCGCCGCCTGACAGAGCTACGTCTGGATAAACAGGCTTCAGGTTAGCCTGCGGATTACCCGGAGGCTGGTGACCAGCTACATGCCCAACTCCGGTGACGCAACGGAGAGAAGATGGCAGCTGCGGCGGCACCGCGACGTACAAAACAGCTTTGCTATCATGTGCGAAGCTCGAAGTGCGCGGTGAGATCTTCGCCGCCCCGCCGGCTGTGGAAGACTTACCGCAATGGCGTCGAAGTTCACCGGTGGCAGGCCTCGGTGCCATCGGCAGAATCAGTGGCGTCTGAACAGCTCTCCCCAGTGTCCTTGGAGCCACCTGCGTCCCGTGTTCACGTCCCACAGCTCCCGCTAAGGCGGGCATCACCCGAGTAGCTGCACCGACAGAGCCCTAAAATATCCAGACCATTCTACGCCGTTGTGTTGCACTCGCGGCGTAGTACCGCACTCGGAAAATGGTGATTCGTATTGGCTTCGATGCACTCCCTGTTGTTAGTGACTGTATAACCAAGGCATGGATGATATATAGCAAAGGTGCGATGCATGAATTCACGGCAGGTTAGGCACTCACTCCTCACGGCACTCCTGTTGTTAGTGACTGAATAACCAAGGCATGGATGATATATAGCAAAGGTGCGATGCATGAATTCACGGCAGGTTAGGCATAAGGGTCTTTGTGGTGTGCCAAGGTGTTTACGGCGTGCATCAGCGATTTGTTCGCGGTCGTGTCATATTCGTCATTTAACCATGGCCAATACGAGAGTAATGCACAGCGGACACACATTGGCCTAGGTCATGACGTCAGACAGGTGTTACGTATTGTCGGTTCAAGGGCGAATCAACTGCAGCGGTTGTTCGCGCCCACGTGTCACGTGTGTGATGCACGTCCGCCCTCAAGGCGTCCTCTTCTGACTATTCAGCGGAGATGCCTCTTGGTGTGACGTGCTGACGCCGAACATGAATGTAACGAATGTAATGATGATGCATGACAGTAATGCGATTTGTGATGTTTTGGCGAATCAGACCAATGTCGTGCACGTACGTGTTAGACGATCTGGCTACTGGATGTTCAGCCATCATGGCGATTCATGTGGCGTGTTCTTGATATGCCCTCCTTTGTGGGGCCCTTGTTATAGCTAAAGCCCAGTAGAACTCTATGGCATAAGGAGCGAACGTCTTCCAAAAGCACCAAATCATTGAGATAGGCTGCAATGGACATAATTCATGCTAAATTATTTGCTCTGTGCGACATTCATCATCAATTACTATCATATAGTTAACGCGCGCTCAGGGTAAGTGAATTAACTTGGCTCCTTCTCCCAAAGTTTCTTCAGAATGATTTGCCGCGCCAAATTCTGCGTACTGTACGCAAATGCCCACCGGATGTTTTGGGGTTTAAACGGAGATGTACCTAGTAAGGCCGCTGACCCATGACAGGTCAAAGTCAGGCCGTGGCCGCCGGCGAAGGTCATTTCTGGAACCGTTCAAATCTGATCGGATACGTTATATTCCGCGAAGCCGTACATTTCTGAGATAGTTTTTTTAGATAATTAAACAATTGAAGTTGGAACTATGAAAAATTTCACTGAACCTAGGTCAGTATCAAGGTCATACCTAGGTCAAGAACGGTCCGCTTTTAGCTTGCATAGCTTTGGGGTAGTGATAGTTTTTCATGCTCATTTCGAATTTCTCGGCAACAGGGACGGCAACAGATATCCTCTTCGACATATTAAGCTTCATATGTGACTTGCCTAAAATCAGCCGGATGGACCACTGGTTTTAGAAACATGCCGTAATGATGAATTGTGGACGGTTGTTGCAACGAAAAGCTAGAACAATCCTTTAGGTTTTTGGTCGCTGTGATCTTCCTAATATCAACCAAGACCACTGACCTAAAATTAGCACTAATGACATTCTGCTCAGAACAGGTATGTAGGTTCCAGGCGGTTACATGATGAGGTCCGATGGCATTTTGGACATCAACCTGGAGCTTGACCTTGTTTGACCCTACTTTACTCAAGGTTATGATCTCGGAACCTAAAACTTTGACAAAAAAAGAGATCACGTATGCGCCTACGTACCTTGTGCATTTGGGGTTTCTAGCTTTCTTAGTTTGGAGATGTTAAGATGCCAAATTAACCCCCAGCTGAGCACGTAGTATTCAATTGGCCACCCGGGCGCGTGTTTAAGGGAATGCTCCCCGTTGCAAGGCATAGAAGCAAGCATTAGACATGATGTAATAAGCTCACTCATAACTATGGGTATAGTGTAAATAAGTGGAAAAGATAGCTCTAGACAGCACAGCTGCTCTGTTAAGTATATATGCGTCTTAATACGCCATTGTTTGATTATGCCATCGGACCTTACACAACACTGCTTGGGAGCCAATGGCCGGCCGTTACATATGTAAATCATGCTCACGAGCGCCAGGTACGAACGAACTGGCAATTATATTTATTGGCCTTGATCACCGCATGGCAAATGGAATAAAAAATAAAATGCAAATTTGAGCACAGTGGAGATTACGGTACCGGTACCACAGCGCTTCCCGAAACATGAAAATGAACACGATTATTTTCTCTAGATGAGATCAGTGTGGATAAGAAACGGCACAAAGTGTAGCATGCGGGAGCGGACATACGGAGCCATACACGCCTCCGATAATCAAGATTCACCTCAGCAAAGCAGGATCTGCACCAGCGCATGACGCTCCTCTGCTCCAACTTTGACGACGCCACTCCCCTCCGACCTTTCTTTCACTTCACTCACGCGCACCACCCGCACCGCTACCCAGCGCACTCCTCAGAGCACCACTCCTGGTGGAGCTCAGTTCACCACCTCGTGTAGCACCCTGGGCCGACCACGCCGTGCGCAGCTCCCGTGCTCGGCCCCACTGGTGACGCGCGATCCCTGCTGTAGTCTCAGGCAGCCTGCGACGTACTGACAGCGGCGGAGGCGGCGGCGGCGGGGGAGGAGCCCGCGGCGGCGGTGGGCGAAGAGGAGGGAGAGGAGGAGGAGGAGGAGGAGGAGGAGGAGGAGGAGGAGGAGGAGGAGGAGGAGGAGGAGGAGGAGGAGAAGCCGGCGGCGGTCTACCCACTATGCTTGGTAGACGCTGACCACGAGTCCCGAGACAGAGCTCTTTGCTTGACGGAGCTTGGCTCTCGCTGCTGCAGCGGAGGGTGCCCGGGGCGTGGTGTTTAGGCGAATGCGCAAAATGGCGTCTCCGACTGTGGACGCATATCTGCTTCTGTGAGGCTGGCTTGCTACGGGAGACAATCGCAGGGGCGGCGTTGCTTGGGCAGTCGTCGCAGAATAGCGCGGCTGTAGTGTGCGTTGACCCCGGTTGGGAGGACTCTTGTCTCTTCATCGCACGGTGCGGGCTCGGGACTGACCACCCGGCTGAGAATGACTGCTCGTCTAGCAGTGACTACCCGGCTAAGAATGACTGCCCGTCTAGTAGTGACTACCCGGCTATCAGTTTTCATCCTCCGCTTTCATCCTGCCCGTCATGATCCTTCACCGTCCCCATCTCCGGAATCTACAGAGAATTTTTGACACTACATGACCTTAGCTGTTAAATCCCTTGATAAACCCCAATAGAAGAAAAGCATTGTCCAAAGCATGTCCACTTTATCTTTGCAAACAAAGCTGATAAATAGCGTATGACTCCTCAGATGACTGACCTTGAAACGGAAGCAGACGTCACATCAAGGTCAATGGTGTTGAAACGGCCCGGAAAGTGGGAGGACAACTTCCTTAAAGCCAATCCCCGCCAGTGATTAGGATAGCGTTGAAGATGAATTTGTACCAAAGGGAAGAGTGCAATAATCGTCCCTTCAGAAATGCAAAAAGGCACCTTTATGCGCATAGGGACGGAGGTAATTTTGAATGGTTTCCCTACATTTCCGAGGGAAAATATAAACTATCAGGTTTAAAAAGGAAATGACCATTTTCATCTGTTTTGGTTGGGAACTGTCAAATTCATCGATCAGTTTCAACACAGGACGACCCAACCCTTGTTTTAACATAACTTAAAACGTAAAGTCATGAACAGCAGACTGAGTGTCACTAGAAGCGTAAGCTCATAACGCAGGACGGATAACGCTGCAGTTGTACGCTTCTACCCCGCGTATACTCATAACGCAGAACGGACGACGCTGCAGTTGTACGCTTCTACCCCGCGTATACTCATAACGCAGAACGGACGACGCTGCAGTGATACGTTTCTACCCCGCGTATACTCATAACGCAGGACGGACGATGCTGCAGTGGTACGCTTCTACACTGCACTTTAGTGAGATCCTACGCTTTCGGTCATTCTGCCAAAGAGTTCGCTTGCTTGGAATGATTTATCTCGTTCAGTATGCTAGATCCAGAGGACGGAATCCCGTCATCATATTGCAGGATAAAATCAGGTATTAATGACAGTTGTTGGGTTGTATGCCGTATGGTGTAGCAGGTAACTCCGCCCTCGCCAAAGTTTGTTGTTACAGGCGTAGTCATGTGGAAAATATGAATCAATCGCATTCTAGACAGGTTAGAATAGCCGTGTAAACTGCATGCCCTGTGATATAATAGCCGTGTAAACTTCATGCCCAAATGCTTGTCTCCCACTCGTATTTCCGTCACCGGCATTGTTTACATATGAATAATGTCGGTGCTTACATAGGACTACACGCGCCTCGACAGTGTTAGTGGCGATGTGACTCAGTCCCTGTCAAAAACAAGCAAACCGCTGGATCGGATTGCTAATCATCACTCATGAACACACAATCTTGTTGGTTTCTGCAAGCCAGCCTGTTACCTACATATAATTTCACAGCCGCTGTTGGAATGGCCACATTATTCTCTCATGTATTTCAACGTAGCAAATGTGGACGGCTAACTCCCAAACTACCGCCCATCAAAGAGCCTAAATCCGTCTCCCGCAGTTTTCATGCATCAGGTCATCATAGTGCGATAAGTAAAGCAACCTATATCTCACTGCAGTCATCGGTTTGGTGCAGTAATGGGACAGCGGCTGCCACATGCGACACAACACACCGTCAGTTATCCTGCGGGGTCCCCCAACAAAAGTCCGTTCATATTCCTCGGGACAATATAAGGAGCTCAAACCGACTGCATGTCGCGCCAACTGTGGGAAGAGGTCACGACCTCTCATGACGTCAGTTCAAACAGCTCAAAATGAAGCGCAAGGTCAGCGGGGAAGACCGGCGTGCCCCCGCCCCCCCCCCCCGCATGACGGGGCTGACCACCGCCGGAGCCCCTGTCCGTCACACGTCAGCCCACAGCGGGTGCAGTGGTGAAAAAGCAGCGATTTATCAATGGCCGTAATGATGCGAAAGACCTCACGCAAGTCATAACGACACTTGCGGGACGACAGTGCCACCGTGTCATCCGCCGTGAGTCGTCTTTTCCTAAATGGAGTGCAAAGGCGTAGGAGCAAAGGGCCCGTTTGTGCCATGTCACCCCCACTTTCCGGCAATGCTGGACAACCCATGTCAATGTATGGAAAGAGAAGGCCTCAACATGGATTTTGGCACGACAACTTTCCGACTTAAGCCTTGACTTATAATGTAAGATGCAGTATGCAAGACAATAATTTCATTATCACCATCATCATCATCATATTGTATATATATATATATATATATATATATATATATATATATATATATATATATTGGCACCAGCAGGAGGAGACTCATCCCAGATCGTTATGCGGGCTGTGATAAACCGGCAGGTGGCCTTCGCACGCGAGCGCGCCAGCCGCCGACCCAGTCGAGGCACATTTAGTGCGGCGAGCGCCGCATGACGCGCCGAAAGTGTCACAGCTGCGCCAGATATGGGCCATGGTTGTTCGGGCATTCCCAACGGTATTGATCATTTCATGGTCCGAAGATGTACCGTTGGCGTGCGCCATGACAAATGTGCCGGGGTGTCAGCCAGGCCGTGCCAGTCAGACCGTGGGGACGTGTTGACTTCCCAATGGTCCTGCTCCTCCCTCACTCTCCCTTCCCCGCCCCTCCCCAGAGAGAGGTTCGGCCCACCCAGACCAGGGATAGCAGCCCTCAGGCGCCACGCACTGGTGTCACGGGCACCACACTGGTGTCACGGGCACCACACTGGTGTCACGGGCACCACACTGGTGTCACGGGCACCACACTGGTGTCACGGGCACCACACTGGTGTCACGGGCACCACACTGGTGTCACGGGCACCACACTGGTGTCACGGGCACCACACTGGTGTCACGGGCACCACACTGGTGTCACGGGCACCACACTGGTGTCACGAGCACCACACTCTGAGGCCGAGCCGACCCGTATTCCACGGGGAAAAGTCGGGGAACAAAATCTCTATTTACAATACTGATACGAAGCTCCTAATTGTACATGCCACATGACGCATGGCTTTAGTGGTCCAACACCAGGCTAGAAACGCACGGTTTAAGCCTGCACGGGTCACTGAAGCAGTCGCGTCACTTTGAGCTTGAACATACTACCAGATCCAGTTTAGATCTCTTTGTCAGCATACACACCATAGATACTCCTACATCTATGGTAATCACGCTCATGTGCTTGCATATTATTTTGTACGGCCAACGCATTTGGCCGTTTCCAGACCTTGCCAGGGTAAGGCCCATGCTATGCAGTGTCTGTTGCCTGAACCCTGACCCTTACCATCCGATCGGAATTTCAGGCCAGGGGTAGAATTTGCTGCCGAAAGTTGAACGTGCCGCATTGCTCGGCACGGTCTGTACTGCCCTATGACGTCACCTGACCATTAGCGTGGCCGCTGTCGCTGTCAGTATGTCAGTCCCGTCAAGGACAAATAGAGGGCACAGAAGCGACTAGAACCCACCCACGCCGTCATGGCTGGGTGCACCGGAATGCAGGCGCTCTACCTAACCTGATGGGACGGGCAACCATTAACGGTGAGAATTCGCCAGCAAATCACACAAATGTGGTTGGACTAGGACTTTTTGGACCGGTGATCGCGGTGTCTCGCCCGGCCACCCGCTCACCCGAGACCGCAGCTTTGCAGCTGCAGAGGTACAAACCCTCGGCCACCCAGAGGGGTTGTACTACCGTGCTGCCGCCGCGTGGAACCAGCTGCCTCCGGTCGCCGCTGAGTGTCCGACACTGCCCGCGTTTCGCGCGTCGTTACGAGCACTGAGGGCCTGAAAAGCTGTTCACTCTGCGCTTATTGACATTGGCTTTAAACGAACTCCACTCGCTAACAATTGTCGATTGCAATGTGTGTATGTACACGTGGATTGCTCCCACGACTGCTGTCGCTATTTTATCCTGATTCTTGCCTGCCTTACTTTGTAACCTTTTGTTTTATATTTTGCACATAATTACGTTGATCCTGAAAAGCAGTACTGCACGGATGGGCCAAAGATTCACTACAATGCAACTTGTCATGTAAATTCCGGGCTGCGCATTTGACCTTGGGCGGGGGCCAGCTGTGAATGGGTCAAAGATTCACTACCAGACAACTTGTCATGTACATTACCGGCTGAACATTTGACCTTGGGCGGGTGCTAGCTGTGGATGGGTCAAAGATTCACTACAAGACAACTTGTCATGTAAATTACCGGCCGAACATTTGACCTTGGTCGGGTGCCAGCTGTACTCAAGCGTGCAGTTGGCCAGTGATCATGGTTTCTAGCTCAGATGTGGACGGCCGCGCCTAGGGGGGATGAACTCAGCCGCATGACTTCTGTGAAAATGAGACCCTGCCTCGTCGGAGCTTCGGTGAGAGGATGCGGACACACGTACCGATAGAGGTGCACGCATATGATTTGCAGAAAAAAAGTTCGTAACCCTTAAGTTCGTCAGGATAAAGTACGTACGGAATGAGCTTCGTAACATCAAAATTCGTAATGTCAAGGTTCG